TTAGAGTATATATACATTTTTTAGAAAAGAAACTTCTCTTCCACCCTGCAAGTTTTTTTTTTCAAACAAGTCGATTACTGGATCCCAAGTAATTTGATCCTTATATTTAGCACCCAACGGAACCTCAAGATACTTGAAAGAAAATTTGACCTCTTTATACCCCAAAATTTTTGCATAAGACTCAACATCATCGCTGCTACTAATTCTAGCCAATTCAAGTTTTATGAATTAAAGTTTCAATTTGAATTTTTATCCCAAAGAATTCAAGGTGGGATACTGAGCGACATCAAACATAGAGCATGGTCCAATTCTATGTGTTAGACTTAATATGAAAACTAGATTTTGGAGAACGAAAACTTTGTTGTTATCCTTTTATTTTCTTTTTCTAAAGGTATAAAAAGTATGAATTAAGTGAGAGTGCAATGAGAATTGAATCAAAATGCAATTTTAGGATCAATCCAGCTGTCATATTGAATTTTATTTTATTTGTTAAGGGTAAATTACAAAATAATTACTTAGGTTTTAAGTATTCTACAAAAATATGACCTGCATATTGAAATTATACAAGAACATGACTTGACGAAACTTAAATGTTAATAAAAGTTAACTCTGTTAAGTTTTATATAAAATTTTCAAAATACCCTGCTTGACTTGTGTATCTCCTCTGGTCACCTTGTTGACTTCTCTTGCCTGGTGAAGCCACAGCTTTAAACTCTGTTGCACAAGACTCTAGCTGCCCAATGTCAAACTTTTGCATTGCGGCTTTTGTTTTTTGCTTCAGCCAAACAAATACTATTTCCTTCATATACCCATATTCCAAAATGTCCTTTAATGAAGCAGGCTGTTGGGCAAGTTCATTTCTTCGAGTAAAAGCTTTGATTTTTCTTGGCAAATCTCATATCCCTGGTAATACCGCTTTTGCTTTGATCTCCCTTGTGATCAGAGACATCTTCTCTTCATTTCTTCTTGGCATATAAAGGTTGGGTAAAGCTTCCAAAGGGTTTCCTGACTACTGTCTATCGACAGCCACAAGCCTTTGTTGGTTAGTTCCATTCACTTTCATATGAGTGGTTCAGGTTCGAGCTTGATTGTGGGAAAAAATATTACAATGAGCCAGATATATATATATATAAGAAAAAAAAACTATAACTATATATATGTCAAATTAGCAATAGACTAGAGATGAAAGAAAAGAAAAGAGTTTATTTCATGGTTTTGCTTAATGAAAGAGGAAAGAAATGATGTGCGGTTTGTGCAAACTGTTTTCTTCATTATGTTATTAAAAATCATATAGATATAAATCTTTTGTAAATTTTTTATACATGGGCGGTACTCCCGTTTTGGTACCTTGTTAATATATAGTTTATACTTTTTATTTCAAAAAAAATGAAAAAATCATATAGATGTGCCTTATCCCTCTAAGGAAAAGTGGAGAAAGGAAGATGGTATCTGATTAATTTTTTTAGTCCCTGCTGAAACTTTTCCTTGTTAAATCTGTGTTTGTTAGTGTGTGAAATAAGTAGGATTTGAGTTATTTATCGGGCTCTGCCCCTGGATTTAGTGCATCTTCAAATCTGTGTCATATATGAAATTATTTATAATTCTCTTAAAACCTAATAAAAAAAGTTATAAATTGCATCCAGGGATCTTGCATCTAACTGAGTTTTGAGGGCGTTTAGTATTGCTGAAAAAAATATGGTTAAAACACTAAATGCTCATAAACAATCTCGAGTTCTTAGGTTAGGTATTGGGATAAAAGTGCTTGTTTTTGGGCTACATATGTAAATGATGAATGAATACATTAAAGAGAATAAGCATTCTAGGCCAACATCGAAGAAGTCATAATAGGGTGCTCTTTATTTTTTTTAAATAAAACTCTTTTGTCCATGAGGTCTTCATAAATTTTACCCACCACATGTTTATGTGGTTAGCCTGCCATATGTTCCCCTTTTAGGCAAGGAGTTGTTCTCTCCTAGGCTTATTTTAATTGTAGTTGCATTTAGATGTGCGTATGCTCTTGTTTTGAATAAGATGTGCATATGCTCATATAATTTCTTTTTAGTTCCTCTTTTGGACATTTCTGTTTTAAAGTTTTAACATGAATTTTACTGTTTTTGCGTGTCTATCTATGTTTTAGGCACTAGATTTGAAGCCTAATTATGTCCGTGCATGGGCAAACATGGGAATCAGTTATGCCAATCAGGTTTGTTATCAATAGTACTTCATAAATTCTTCAATTCTCGTGTTGTTTCCCCTATGTGTTAATATTCCAACTATAACAATTCTAGGGCATGTACGAGGATTCAATCCGTTATTATGTGCGCGCCCTGACTATGAATCCCAAGGCAGATAATGCATGGCAATATTTGAGAATTTCTTTAAGGTATGTTGATGACATGCTTTGCTTGCGTTGTATGCAACTCAATACAACAACTTATGTGTCTCTCTGTCCTATTTTTGCAGCTGTGCTTCCAGGAATGACATGTTCGAAGCTTGTGATTCACGGAATCTTGATGTTCTCCAGAAGGAGTTTCCCCTATAATATCTGCATTAGTTTTGGGGTAGTGCATAAATATAAGGAGTAATGTTCCATTGCAGTGGAGTTGGTAGGATTCTGAAACCACTCTTTGGATATATAATACACTCTCTCGAAAGACACGAGACGGCACTTTGTTCCATCAGCTGCTGTTACAAATGTCGCCCCCCATTAAATGGTAAAGTCTGAGCTGGGTAGTGCAGGAAGATTGAAGGTGGTATCATGGAATTCATAAAAATAATTGTTTGAAGCTTCAAATAAATAAATACGGGATGTCCTTTGCTTCTGTAAGTTTAGGGTGTCATTAGAAAGTGGGGAAGGAAAATAAGAATAGGAAGAGGAAGTGGAAGTTGGTGCTTGTTATAACTAATTAAGTAAAGAAACTTTTAAAATATTCATTAACCTTAGGACCTTTTTTATTTCCTTTTCTATAGTCTATGTATTGTATTTAATTTTTGTTTTTTTTTGTTTTTTTTCAATGGCGTGTCTGATTTCATACCAGGCTAGTAGGCTGCTTGGTTGGTTGGTTGTTAGGAAAATTATCCTTGTTTCTTCTTCTCTCTCGGTTGGAACAGGAGCATAGCCAGTTCCTAATTTAGGTAGGTTGAATAGATGTTGCTATAGTGTGGAGCATCATTTACTACGGTAAAATTTTTAAGATCTCACAGTAACTACTTCATGTTATGTAGTAAGAAATCACTGCAAAAGGTGGTTACTAAATAAATTTAGTAATTCCTCAATATTATGTGGTAATGAAATTAGTAAACGAGGTGATTACTAATAAAACTTAATATGTTACCGTTAAATATTAAAAAGTTGAGAGAGGGGGGGAGGGGGCATGTAAAGTTTGATAAGGATCGTGTTTTTAAGACTGTAAGATGGGATTTATCTGCCGGGGAATCAACGTGTAAACTGTTGGAAGATTCTGTCTCAATGATTCGGTTTGATGGGAGAGAAGGTAGTAGTACGAGGGGCCAGAAGGTGGGGCAGTGTCAGCCAGCCCTGCCAGCTCTTTGCCTTGGATAGTTTTTTTACTTGAGGAGCACGGCCCCATATTGGCATGTCCCTAGAAACCTCTATACACATCCTGCTCGTGGAAAAATGTTAAGATGATGAGTTTCTGTTCTTCTTATTTTCTTGGTAAAATGATAAAGAAAATTATGTGTGTGTGTATATATATATATATATATATATATATGTATAATATCTAAGTACTTAATGACAAAAGAATCATATACACTCGTACTCTGACATTTTATATTAAATAACAAATAAGTAAATAAATAATGTACGTTTCTTCCTGTTCATCCTCGTCTGTTACAGACTGCTGCATCATCCTTGCGCACGCATGTATATAATATGTAAATATGAGTTTGTTTAGCGTCCTCCCAGAAAAATATATACGCCTGTGTGTGTGTATATATATATATATATATATATATATTTCCCAACTCCCAGAAATTTTAAGGAGTTCTCATAAGTAAGAAGAGAGATTGGAAGTTCCCCGAGGCTTCGACGCTGTTCGTTCAGAGGCTTGTATACCTGTTTGGGTGACTTTAATACTAACATGTTAGTGATCTCACAACGTACTTTTAGAATATCTGTTGCCTTTGAGAAGTTTTGTAGGGAAGATTAGTGTGGTTATAGACTTTTTTGTATGAATTTTTATATAATGATGGGTGATAGTCCCAGTGACTTGCTATAGTTTGTGTGTGTTACATTTGAAGTAGAAGATACATGGGATCCAAACTTCTTTTAGGGTTCAAGCTCAGAGCACGATAATCCTATCTAAGAACATTTCTTGTTTTCTCGAGGACCTGTATATTTATTCACCGTCAGTCTTCAAATATTCCCCTATAAATTTGCAAGTTCATTTTTTTTCATTAAGCATAATAGATAAAATAAATAAATAAATGAATACTATTAATAAATTTTTTGAAACTTAGGGGAATTGAATAAGTTTTGGGTGTAAATTAAATGGAAATTTTTAATGTTTGGATATAATTATATAAGTCAATAATTTTGTGAAAAAACAAATATATATATATATATATGTAAGTTAGAATTCAATCTATTAACAAACAAATAATAGTTAAATATATATCACATGACTTAACAAACAAAAACATAATAAGCAATTTTATTTGAAAATCACAAAAAGATAAGAATTTTATTTTACATACTAAAGATTAAAAGTAAGCAAACAGCAATAGAATGAGAAGAGCCAGTGCCTATGAAATATAATAATTAAAATTGTCACGCATAATTCACTTAATATGTATATAGAGAGAGAGAGAGATAGATATCTATATAGGGAGAGAGAGAGAGAGAGAGCAGTAGCAGTAGTAGTTTCTCTCAAGAGCTGGTGCACAGAAAGAGAAGTCAAACGTACATTTATGGCACGCTGAGATGAATTAAAAACTTTGAGGTAGCCCTACCCATTAAATTATATATGTATATATATATATATATAATATGTATATAAGAGCAAGGAAGATACCCAACTGCTACTCCCATAAAAACCATCATTTATTTATTAGGTGTGCTTCTGTACGTAAGGGGAATATCCGCAAAGCAACAGCATATCAATCTCTGTTTACTAAAATCTCTTTTTAATCGTTGTATGCACATACACATATCTATGACTTGTAAAGATAATATCCGCATGTGTATTAATATCTATGTATGTACATACAGGTAATTTAACTGGTGGGTTCAATTAATAATATGTTAGAAATGAATGCAACGCATGTATGTACATGGATGAGTTGCGCAAAGCGTTGAGAGTTAAATTGATGCTCTGTGGACACGCAAGCTATGGTTTGCGTGGGACTCATGACTATCTTTTCAAACAGTACACTATCACCTATATCTATTCATGTACACACACACACACACACATATATATATATTATAGCACCTGCCAGAAGCTATACATAATCCTACATGTATAAACATTATAAAAAGGTTGATTAAGGGTATTGAATATTAATGCCAGTGGTCAGTGTGCAGAAACAATTAAACTAGCCACAACACTTGAAATCTGTTTATACGTAAACTTTATCATCTGCATTGATCATATATATACATATATAATATAACCAATCCAATCACTTCCCAGCTGACTATTAATCATCGGAGAATGGTATCTGCAGCACTTCACCGTCTCAATTCTGTTAGAATCGCAAGCAGCCACACACACACACACACACACACACTCAAACACATATAATTAAGTACTATTAAAGAATTAAGAGGAGGAAAATGATGGCAATGAAGAAGGGTGTAATAAGAGAGTGTGTACATATATATATGTATGTAATAAGTAATTTTTAAAGAATGAGGAGAAGAAAGAGGAGAATGTAACAGCAAATAGCAAGTGAGAAAGGGTATGTATAAATAAATATAAGCGAGGATAGATATGTAGATATATATATATAATATATATAAAGGAAGTGGTCCTTACCAGGGAAATCCAGAAGTTGAGAGATGAGATCCCCTGTTAGCAGGAGGGTTTTCCAGATGCAAATGATGAAGGGGTAAGAGGAGGCAAGGTGGGCATAAAAAGCAATATTTTTTGTCAAGTTCCATGGCTTTGTTGAGGGAACAAAAGGCAGGATTTAGGCCAAAAAATGCTTCATTACCCTCTTCTCGAAACCACAAAACTCCAACGAGACAAACCATTTTGGGGAACAAAACTCTCCTTTTTCACTTTTTTTATACACGTCTATATATACACACATATACATATATACCCTCTTACCTTCATTATTTTGTTTATTTAACTTGTAATCACTAACATTCACACTAATTAATAACTAGTGAAAAATAATTTATCTTTAATATTGTATCTTAATACTATATATCCATATATTATACGCACACACACACATACACACACGGGCACATAAAACAAAATTAAGCACTAAAATCAGTATAAATATTTGTCAACCAATCTTTTTAACCTATAGCACAAGCACCATTAAGCTAGTATATAAAATAATAATTGAAAAGAGAAGGAAGAAAAAAATACGAGGAAACTTTAAAAAGTTAAAAATGATTCCACGTACTTACATCTCCAACAATGCGCAAAGGCTAGCCGAAGAGGAATCAAGCGGTAGTTAATTAATTAATTAAGTATTAAACTAAATTAAGAAAAGACTAAATGGAGAGGAATTATAGGAGACAGGAGGGAGACATTAATTATGTAAAAATACCAGCCACGTCCAAAACTTAGTAGTGCCTTAACTGCCACAAGATTCCGATCATACATGACCCACCTGAGATTCCATCGGCGGCGGATAAAGCGACGTCGTAGACCGAGGAGCTTCACTGGTCCTCATCCGGAGATGTTACTCATGCATGCATGATTGCTAGCTCATACTATTCCGCCAATTACTTGGTCTGAAATTGTATATCTGAATAACGTATTAATGTCTTTATAAATATAGTTGTTCCATAGAGATGATAATTTATGGAGAAGCTAAGCTCTAGATATATATATATATATATATATGTGGTGAATTGAGTAATATATAATTAAAATTGTCTGTATAACAGAGAGGAGGAAGAAGAAGAAGAAGACTCATGCAAGAATTAGTAAATAGAAGCTGGAAGCTGCTGCATGATATTTTATCAGAAGGGTATATTGTGTGTATATATATAAATATAGCTAGCGCCAGGAGGAGACGAAGAAGAGACGGCGATTGTGCCATCCGAGGAAGAAAGAGTTGTTGAGGATCTGGAGTTTGTATCCCTCAGAAGGGTAATGGAGCCTGAGTAGCAGCTTGGCCTGCGAAAGCGCGAAAGGGCTGAGCGCAACATTTGAAAACCCTGCGCCTCTCATCATCATCTCCCACCACTCAAATCTCTCGTGCCGTTCCCTTCTATTCTCCTGCTGCGCCGTCACAATGTCCACGATCTCCCTTCCAAACCATATCTGCTCAACACCTAGTCTCTCCCGGCTGTTGGGCGGCAGCGTCGCTTCCAGAGACTGAAAAATGGCCGTGTAATGATCCAAAGCGTCCACAAACCGCTGCAGGAAGAGAGGATGGTTGTGGTTCCCTTCTCTCTCGGCTACAGTCACTACAGTCGGATTCAACGCTTTGATTTTCTGCAGCAAGAGTCGCAGCCCCCGCGAGTCGTCATCTTTAATGAGCCGGTGCAGATACAGTACGCAGTTCACAGCTAGGGATTCGTCTGGGAGGATGGCGAGCGCGGAGGGGATGAGAAACAGAGCAAGCGAAGCTGGGTCGTCGTTTAGTACCAGAAGCGGATGGAAACTGAAGCGTATACCCAGTGACTGGGCAAATCTAAAGAGACGCTCGCCGGTCGTGTTGAGCATGTTCAAATCGTGGCCGGTGGCGGTGATCCGCAGCATTGGCGGTGGGTTGAGTGAGTTGTGAGAACGCTCGGCCAAAGCCTGCATTAGAGGAGGCCATTGAACTCCCTGCATTATGTCCAAATCCAGGATGTGTATAGCTTGCTGCCCTACCTCTATAGCTTCCAGTATCGCCTGATTCGCCGTCAGATGGCTAAACCTAATGAAAGGGGTTATCTGGTTCAGTGACAGATAACACGACTGAGATGTCGACGAGTACCGATCCTCCTCTAAACTACTATTAATTACAGGCGTCGGCAAAGCGGCGTCGTTTAAGTTCAAGTTGAGCATCATCAAGACGCTGCCGGAGCCATGGTGAGAAGTGATGCGCATTGAAAGAGCTCTTGCAAACTGGTGGACCAACCTCTCGGTTGAGTCGCCGTAAGGAGAGGAGTTAGCAGAGAGAAATGAGAGGAGACGTTGAGCGGCCGGGAAGTCGGATCGAGAGAGCAGCTCGGCGCAGGTGATGAGGAGTTGGCGCATATGGATAGCTGATGCAGGATGTGGAATGGTAATGTTGTGATGATGATGATCAGACGTGGAGGGGTCATCTTGATCTTGATCTTGATCGTTGAAAGACGAAGATATCAGGGACCCCCCCAGCATCCTTTACTGATCTCCACCACCACTTCAATGGCCTTCTTGTTAAAACATATGCATCTGCTAATCCAAGAAGTTATATACGTACTTATAACAGCTAGTAGTGTATACTATCTATCCATTATCTATATATAAAAACAATATTATATAGAATTATTGAACAGGGCAAGTGAGAAAGCAAAGAGAGGAATAAGATCTTGGTGGTGATGAGAAGGCAATAAACAAAATAAACAAATAAAATAAAAGAGCGGCAGAAGGAGTGGAGGAGGAGTTGGGTGGCAGAGGTTTTTGCTGCTTTAACGTACGTATGTATATATGTATGGTGGTGTGTCGACTGATCAGTACTTTATATTACACAATATTTTTGCCCAAATAATAAATTCTTACGCCGGGGAGGGAGTTTTAGAGTAATTTTTTCGTGTAACAAAAATTGTTTATGATCTTTTCCCTTTAAAATTTATAAGGTCAAATTCTCAACAAAAAAAAACATATATTATATATATATATATGTACATTTAAATGGTAATAAATCACATCCATTATCTCATTATTAGTAACAATGACATGATTATATATATCATCAAAAAAAAAAATCAACAATTGATTAATTAAATAATTTTATCGTTAATTTCTCTATAAGAAATTATGTATTCGAGTTGAGTTATAATCTATATGTTTCTTATTTAAAAGTTATATTTTATTATATTAAAATTAATGTTTATATATTATTTAATTGATAGATATATACATTTTTATTTAATTTATATCTTTTTCAATAATTTTAGCATTTAAATATGAATTACTATATGTTATGATAATAATATATTGATTTATTGACAATTAAGCGAATTATGAGGCAATGGAGCCCGATCTTCCCCCATGTTGTTTAACATTGTAGGAGAAGGGCTCACTACCTTGTTCCAAAAGGTAATTCAGCTAAAGTTTCCATTGGTTGAATCAAGGTGGGAGTTGGTGATGTGTGTTTCAACTTGTTGTAATTTGCTTATGACATTTGGTATTTTATAATTAAGCTTTGGAGGAAGTATTGATAGTTTAGAGAACTATGAGGTGCTTTGAAGTTGTATCAGGAACTCTATTTGAGTTTTATGAAAAGAAACTTATCATATAATAAGTTTAACATCTTAGGATTAACAAGACTCATTAACTTCCATTCACATACCTCAACATCCCTTTGGGTGCAAGACGAATATTGATCCAAACATGACAACTTGCATGAATCATGAAATTAGATCAATTGCACAGACTACATCTAGCTTAGGGTATGTCAAGTAAATTAATGATCTAATTAGACTTCCATATAATCTTATATTTGCTCTCAAAGTACCATTATAATCGAAAAAGTCGATATTGCCTTACAATTATTCATGAGGAATTTCTTCAACAATTTTTCAAGATATTTTTCTTGAGAGATGTATATTCTTTATTTATCTTTTGGACTTGGATCTCAAAAAATATTTTGTGAGACTTAAATTTGTCATCTCATGTTCATGCATTATAACTTTTTTAAATTCTTCAACCATCTTCATATTCATTCATATATAGATTAAATCATCTGTATATAAACAGACGATGAGGAAATCTTATACACATTTTTTCTTCACATAAAGCGTTACTCATTTTGACTCCTCTAAAATTCATTGCAGAGAAAATTGTCATCTATTTTATTATTCCAAGTTGTGGAGCTTACTTTAAGCCATACAATATTTTTTTGAGAAAGTAAACTTTTTGCTCTTGGCCTTTTATCACATAACCTTTTAGTTATTCCATATATACTTTTTATTTTAACTCTATTACAAAATGTTGATTTACTCTCATTGATATACAAGTATATCAAATTGAGTAGTTAGGACAATAATTGTTTTGATTATTTTTATATGTACATCTAGTGCAAATGTTTCATTAAAATCAACTGTTGCCTATTAAGAATAATCCTTTATAACTAATCGAGCCTTGTATTTCTTTGTTGTGTCATCTTCTTTATATTTTGTCTTGTAGATCCACTTTAGATCGATTAGTTTTTTTACCTTTAGGTCGATCTATTAGCTCCCAAGTATGATTCTTCTCAATTGTTGTGATATCTTTATCTATTGCCTTGGACTAAATTTCTCCTTTCATTGCTTCTTCATAATTCTAAAGTTCACATGTAAAGATGCAACATCACAAGTTTAATAAATTTCTTTTAAGATACGCACATTTTTAAGTGGCCTTTTAGAGTTTGAATGTATATTGTCTAATAGTGTAAGATTTGAATTTAGATTAATTGGAGCTGGTACTAGAAAGTTATAATAGTTAATTATTATGGAGAACTTTCTTCTCAATTTGAGGATCCAGATTTATTAAAGATAATGTCTCAAGAGATTATAAATTCTTTTGTCTTTGAATTTACTAAATGATATCATTTGAATTATTCACTATAACCGATGATGATGATATATTTTTTGCTTTTCTCATCAAATTCTTCTCTATGTTGTGAAGGAATATAGCAATAGACAATTCAACCCAAGATCTTAAGAAATTTACTTAGGGTTTTCATTTATGTTATGCTTTATAGTTTTGCCTTGAAGTGCTTTTATTGATGACCCATTGAGAATATAAACTACAGCATTAACAACTTCAACTCATTTTACATTGGATTGGGATGTTTGATCTATATTTTGAATGGAAAATCTCTTCATTTTGATTCATGAAAGTCTAGTGGCTCCATTAGCTTATTGAATGTGAGTTTAATAATTTTTTTTTTTTAATTCTCCAATTGCAGCGACTATATGTTCGTATTTTGCTGGTAGATTCTTTTTGAGAATCTTTTTATCTTCTAATTTTCTTCATAACTCCTAATTGCATTGACTATTGTAGGAATCCTGAAAACATTTCTTATAGAACTTTGTTATCTTTCATAAATGAATTATCAAATTCTCACTATAAATTTTGGAGTATTACGAAGATTACTTTTTAATAACCTCCAAGAATTTGCTTTAAAATCTCTCATGTATCTTTAGAAGTGCGTGCATCAGAAATTTGAGAAATCATAGCTTTGCTTATCCTTTAGTGGAGAAACTTCGGTACTTTTGCATCTTTTTAAGCTTCTATTCTTTATAATCTTTCTTTGCTACTGTCCATTTTGCTTAATTTTTGGGATTGGTCGGTGTAAATTCTCTACAATCAATATATTAAAGTTTTCTCCAACAAAGGCGGGTGTTCCTTGTTGAGAATAATTCAGTGAAAGCTCATTGTTGTTTGAGGCCAATTGGAAGGTTATTGGATTTTATGAAAAATTGAAGGAGTTGAAGGAACTTGGTTCTTATACCATAATGTTAGAATTTTTTAGATGGATTTATGTGATGGAATTGATTTTGAGATAAAATTCAAAAGGGACAGAACTTGGAAGCCACAAAAAATAATTACGAAAGTTTAAAGCTCAAAAATGCTTTTAGAACCTTTTCACTAAAATGGAGCTCTACTATTTTCGACAAGAACACTAACAGGGATGGACATTGAGATAGTTGATGGCTTCTAAGTGGCAATGGATGATGGCTTAGGAATTCATCTTTGGAAAGATATATCTCTTGGGCATGTGCCTCTTATGACATTGTTTCCAAGGATTTTTGCTCCGGCAATGGATAGGAATTTAACAGTGGGTATGTATGCGATAGAAAAAGTGAGCAAAGATGGAGTTGGAATATAGAGTTTGGGATGAGGATCTTGGTATTTAGAATCGTATCAGTAGGAGTGTAACTGATGTAACTCTGTACATGGTGGTCTGGTCAGTGTGGCTGGGTTAGGAACGAAAATATATTCAACAATAGTTATACTTCTCCAGGGGAATTGTGAGCGGACTCTAAAAGTGAAAGACTGAAGCCGAACGTTGGGTAACCATTATCATTGGAACGTTTGAAACTTTAATATGGACGCACGTGTTCTGAATAAACAAGAACCGGCCAACATTGGAGGAGTTTAACAGACGGAAGAGTCTTAGATTCTTCACGAGATCTTTGGTGTT